TTCTGTTTTCTTTTCTTTCATTCAGATAGACTGGGTAATTCCCACCAATATCTGCCTTTCCATTTCTTTGGCAAGGTTTGACTTTTGAAGCAAACGCCCGACGCACAGTCCCCTCTCCCAACACACTGTAAAGGGTTCATGAATGTTAACGGATCTTGTCTCCCTAAACTGGACAAGGAGAGCTCACAACTCTGGGCCCAGCTCACAACCCAGCTGGCTTGACTTTGACAGGAGCTCGATGGGAATGGTGTGAACTGGAAATGGCCATTGCTCTCCGACTGGAGCTGGTGAAAAAACAGAAAGCTAGTTTCACAAATAATGTTGAAATTTCAACGTTGTTTTCATTCCGATAGGTTTGAACCAGGCCCATTTTTCTTCATTTCTTTTTTAAAATTCTATTTTTTTACTGTTATAAAAAAATTCAAAAAGTATTTTCACTATATTTTGACAAATATTTGGGAGGGAAATTAGCCCCCAGAAAGAATGAAAAATGACAAAATTTGGACAGGGTTGAGAAGGGTTCATGAAATTTTTTGTTCCTTCCCCCCAAGAAAAAAGGCGTCATTCAAAAATGTGTAACTCATTTTATATCTACCCGCTCCCATCTCCATTTAATAGTATCAGGCTCGTCCTGATGCTGGGCTACAGACACAGTATTCAGAAGCACCGGACTCTGTCAGACACGAGTCTAAATCCTCTGCTTGCTTACACCCAGTGCAATCCACATGGAAGTTCATGAACTCTACGCAGTGAAAGTCAGTGCAGAATATGACTCCTTGGTGTGCATTACTTTAGCTATGGGATCCTTATTGAAAACGTCAGCTTCCATAATGGGAAACCTCCAGAGTAGTTCAGCTCAACAATCTCTGTCAAAGACTGGGGAGGGTATGTCACTGGTGAAGTTATGCCTCTTGGATTGCAGGGAGAGGGAGTACCTCGCTGGTAGGGTGGTGGCTACTTAACGGAATTGTGTTAGCGGGAGTTGGAAGCTGTTGGTCAAAGCTCCAGCCATCACATCAAATGTATATGTATGTGCCTTATATAGTAGGCTTGAATTCTCCTAGCTTAGCTTGTCCCTCATCCTTGAAACCTGCAGACATAGCCACTGCACGGAAAGTTACCATTGCAGGACACAGATGCTCTCGCTTGGTATCCCAACCACAGGAGGAATTATTCTCAGTCTGGAAGAGGAAGGGTAGCCAGTTGGCTGAGGTTTGCTGGCCTTTCATATCATCCCTCCCCAGAAACAGAGAGTCATACCTGGTTATGGAGGTTTGACTGGCCTCCAGTCACTGCTGTTTTGGCTTGTCGCTCTGCCACGCACTTCCGCACTCTTTTATGACTCACGGTGAATTCTTACTTGGGATCTCAATTAGTGAGATGCCTTGGAGAGAGCAGCCGCATCAGAAAACAGCCGTGCTCCCTCCCAAAGAATTCGGGGCTGAAGCACCAGAAAGCTTTCACAATCAAATAATCCCCATGTTTCTACCTAGCCGACTCAGAGCGCTGCCCCTGACATGTCATTATTGGGAACTGACATTCCTTCAGTAACTGTAACAAACCCCCAACCCAATTCCAGAGCTTTGCTGCAGCACCAGCGGGAGAGGGAATAATCTGTGATCTTGAGACTTTCAAACCACTCAAATAAACCTTCTTTCCCCACTTTTGATTTAGCCCGTTGCAGGCTCTCACTAACTACTTTATTTAGTTTTGTCTTTGGGGGTTGTTGCACGTTTCCTTCTCTGCTGTTACAGAGTTGGGTTCTTCCTAGCCCATCCCCCTTCTGAAGACTTGATGAAATGCAGAGAGGGAGGCTGTGTGCTTGGGTTCCTTCCTGTGGTGAGGCATGAGCACGGGGGAGGCGGGTATTCTGGAGAACTCCAGATAAGTAAGGGAAGGAGAGGGCAAGGTATCCCCATTTGGCTTTTCGCTTCTCCAGTGGCTTCCTACAGCAGGGAGTTTGAGGGTTGTGCCATGGTGATAGGTGGCTAAAGGGATGGATAGGTGGATGATGGTTTGTTCACAATGGTCCATGTTTCATTCTTAAGAATTGTGATCAACTTGTGACTTCAGTGGAGTTGCACCAGTGTAACTGAGAGGCAAATTTGGCCCCTGAGTTGAGGGAGGAAGCCCAGTTTCCAACAAGATGTTTGCTTCTCTCTGTCTCTTTCAACCAATAAACAAGGGAGCGTAGATTAAACTCCGGAGGCCCCAGGGAGTTATTGAAGGAACAGTTTTGGTTCAGGAATGCATTGCCAAACCAGTCATATATATATATTTTACGCTAATTGCCAAAGAGCCCGGTAAGAGTTGCTTTACTTGAGCTGCTCATACCACTCAAGCCCTAACCCCAGTGGGAATTTGCCAATTTTGAAGCCATAGGGCGGGGCTCTGTAAACTTTCTGTGCTGTGTCAGTATTACTGAAGAGGGCAGCCTAGGTTAGATGACCCAATGCAGTTGAGAGATGTGACGAGTTGTATTCCCAGCTTTTTTTTTTTAGAGAAGGTCACTAAACCTCCTTGTGCCTCAGTTTTCCTATCTGTACACTGGGAATAATAGTATAGATGCCATAAGCCTTAATTAATTAACATAGAATCATAGGACTGGAAGGGACCTCGAGAGATCATCTAGTCCAGTCCCCGGAATTTATGGCGTGACTAAGTATTATCTAGACCAGGGGTGGGCAAACTTTTTGGCCTGAGGGCCACATCTGTGTATGGAAATTGTATGGTGGGCCATGAATGCTCACAAAATTAACAATTCATGTCCAAACAAGGACAACACAAGTTTGTTTCAAAATCTGCTCTGTTAAAATAATTCTGTTGAACAATGCGCTGCTAGGAGATTACATTACTGAGCTGTTTGTTGATTTTGCCACACAGTTTTGCTCCTGTCTGAACACAAATTGTATGCTAGCCTGGATTTGTCGGGCGTTAGCTTCCAGTCATTGGAACACATTGAGTTCTCAGAAATCTCCTCCCACGTAGGGCCCAACAGCCAGGGCCGGCTCCAGGGTTTTGGCCGCCCCAAGCAGCCAAAAAAAAATAAATAAATAAAAAGCCGCGATCGCGATCTGCGGCGGCAATTCGGCGGGAGGTCCTTCGCTCCGAGCGGGAGTGAGGGACTGTCCGCCGAATTGCCGCAGAATAGCTGGATGTGCCGCCCCTCTCCGGAGTGGCCGCCCCAAGCACCTGCTTGCCAGGCTGGTGCCTGGAGCCGGCCCTGCCAACAGCCCACAATGGAATCGCCTCTGGGTGCTAGGAAAGTCACCTAATCCAACAAGTAGCAGGCACCGGGGCTTGCATGTTCCAAGCTCTGATGGCGCATGAGGCGCATTTGGGTTGTGCAGCATGTCCTCACACCCATAACGCAGGAGCGCCGGGCAGCTGGAGTGGGGCAAGCCCCCGACCCCACTCCCCAGCTGGAGCTCCAGGCAGGAGCTCCGGGAGCGCCGGAGCGAGGCAATGGAGCTCGAGGGCCGGATTAAAAGGTCTGATGGGCCAGGCGCGGCCCGCCGGCCGTAGTTTGCCCAGCCCTGATCTAGACCATCCCTGACAGGTTGTTGTCTAATCTGCTCTCAAAAATCTCCAATGATGGAGATTCCACAACCTCCCTAGGCAATTTATCCCAGTGCTTAACCACCCTGACAGTTAGGAAATTTTTCCTAATGTCCAACCTAACTCCTCCCTTGCTAATTTAAGCCCATTGCTTCTTGTCCTATCCTCTGTATCATGTGTAAAACATTTTGAGATGCTTGCATAGCAGGTGCTATAGACATTTAATTACAGTAAAAGGGGTGTTATCCGGCCCTGTACCAACCGGAAAGCTTTATAAACCGGCATTTCTGATCTTCATAGAAAGTCTGGTTTATAGTCCAGTTGGCATGGGGCCGGCAGGCTCCCTACCTGGCTCCACGTGGCTCCCCGGAAATGGTGACAGGTCCCTTGCCCTCTCCCTGCTGCTCCTAGGCAGAGGAACAGCCATGAGGGGTTTGGAGTGCGGGAGAGCATGCGGGGCTGGGGACTGGGGCACGGGAGGAGTTTCGGGGTGCCGGATCCGGGGGACACTGACCACAAGCGGCGACCTATCCCTGCTGTTCCTAGGTGGAGGTGCGGCTAGGCGTCTCTGTGCACTGCTTCCACCCGCAGGCGTTGCCCCCACAGCTCCCATTGGCCGTGGTTCCCAGCCAATGGGAGCTGCGGAGCCAGCGCTCGGGACAGGGAGAGGGCAGCACACAGAGCCACCTAGCCATGCCTCCACCTAGGAACAGCCGGGATAGGTTGCCACTTGCAGGGAGCCGCCCGAGATGAGCGTCCCCCGGATCCGGCACCCCAAACCCCTCCCTCGCCCCAACCCCCTCCCGCATCCCCTCTTACACCCAAACTCCCTCCCTCTTAGTTAACCTGAATTTTTCACTTACCAGCATCCCCATTTCTCCAACATGCCAGATAAAAAACCTTTTACTGTAATTAGGAATCAGTCAGAAGACAGAATGTATCGACTTGTCTAGCTACTGGCAACTGTTAACAGAACTGTTTTGTCTATGTGAGAGGACAGACCGCCCTGGCTGGAGCTGAGCGAATACTGCATTTATTTATTTATTTTGGTGGTGGCCGAACCAAAACTGCTTTTTTTTTCTTGCCGGAATGAAAAACTGAAAAAAAATTCAGTCTGGTCGAACAAACTATTTTGGATGTTGACTGAAAACATCATCTTGAAACAAATTGTCTGTTGGAATTGACATTTTCTAAACAGAATGTCAATTTGTAACAACTCGTGTTGCAAATGCCAAAACAAACCATTTCCACATTTAAAAATAATCTTTTTTGTTTGCTGGGTTGGTTGGTTTTGTTTTGGGCCAAATTCAACCTGAAAAATGAATTTTCGGCAAATTTAGTATTCGCCAAAACAATTTCACCCACCTCTAGACCTGCCTCCTAGCTCCCTGGTCTAACTGCTTCCACCTTCTTGCTATGTCTCCGTCTCTTCTTCATTCCAGGAAAGCTCACCTGATCTTAAGGAGGCTGGAGAAAGTTAGCAGCCACTGTTCGACCCTGCTCCGCAGTGCCTATATCCAGAGCCGCACCGACACCATGCCCTACCTGTTCTGCCGCAGCGAAGAGGTCCGGCCGGCTGGCATGGTCTGGTACAACATCCTAAAGGACACCAAAGTGACGTGCGAGGAGAAGATGGTCTCCATGCTGCGCAACACGTACGGGGAGTCCAAGGGGCGGTGAGGGACGATGTTGGCCTGGAGCTGTGGAAGGGAACTCCGAGGAGTCACGGACATGTGACAACCTGAGTAGCTGGTGGGCTTAGGGGAAGGGTGACGTTCAGATGGAGGGGACAGCGAGGCCAAACCGGACTGTTTGACACGGGCGGTGGAGAAACGAGAAATCAGCCAGTTGGACTTTGATTTCCCTTTTTATTTTATTTTTTAAAATGAAAATACCTAATTTGACTCAGTAGCACCGTCTCTCCTTTTTAATCTTTTCTTACCGAATTTCCTGGACTACGCGCTCCAAATCTGAGAGGAGGAGAAATCCAAAAGAGCCAGGTCAGGGCACAGGAGAGCTAGCTGCGCCCTCCCCTGCAAACCTTGGAAGCGGACGAGGTGGGAAAGGGGGCCCGCTGCCTCAGCGCGTCAAGGAGCCAAGGCGAAGCGTCTCAGTTCTGGGAGGCGACACCGGGAGCTGGAAACCGAAGATCATGGAGATTAACGCCAGCCGGGCAGGTGCAAAGACATTGCAGGCAAACTGGGTTTTTTTTTAACGCTCCGAGTTTGCAGAACTGCTGCTTGCGGAGTCTTCGTTTGCAGGGCTCCTGACAGGTTGTTCTGTGCATTAAAGATTCATATGAAGTCCACCTCCCCCGCCTGCTGGGTATTTTTTGCCAACACCCGTCTCTGCCGTGGCCTTTTTGCAGAATGACCTGGGGAGGAAACGACTCTCTTCAGAGCTCTGGTAAAAGAAATGCGAGTGTCGGGTACAGGATTAAGAGAAGAATCCCAGTATGTGGAACAATAAGACACTTCTCAATGCTGGATTGGGGTAGGGGTGAGAGGAGCTGAGCGGGGAGTGCCTCTTTTTGTCTGCAGACTCCTTCTATAAAGCCAGATCGCTCTTTGTTCTCAGCTCCTGTCGTAAGAGTTCTGTGCTCGTGGGAAAACCCTATAAGGCTGCCAAGGGCTAGATAGACATGGAGACTCTATCGTCTTTTAGCATCTGAGGTGGATAAGGTTGGCACCCGCTGGGAATGGAGCAAGGTGGGAGGCTGAGGATAGAGGAACCCGATCCAGAGCCCACTCAAGTCAGTGGGAGCCTTTCCATTGACTTCAGTGGTGCCAGTGAATTCCTCTTTCAGTGCAGAAGGGGAGTTCAGTCTGGGCCAGAATTTGTATCTGCTGAAGAAGCAACTCAAGCAGGCCCATGCCTGAATGGAGACAGAGGCTGGAATTTCTCATTTGTAAGGTCCCGCATGGCTCATTGCAGAGCAGATGGGGGCTGACCAGTCCTCTTGCCATAAAGAAAAATAGGGTGGGGGAAGGACCAGTGATGACACAAAGGAAGAACACCCTTTCTTCTCAGCTCTTCTGGGGCTGTGACACACTGCGGTTTTGTACAGCACCTAGGACCATGGTGGCCTGGGGCCTCCAGGTGCTACCACCGTATAAACAATAACTAATAACAATAACCTTCAGAGAGTCATCTGTGGTAAGCTCCCCTAGCAGCCCTCCCGGCTCACCTGATTCCAGACCCAAATTTACTTAGATGCAGACCTGTAGCATCTTGGAGCTGAGGTTCTGCCTGCTGCTGTGCCCGTGAAGGGTTAATCCCTTGGCACCTAAAACACCTAGACTGTGATCTTCCTTCTCCCGTCCATTGGGCCTTGCTCCTGCTTTGCATGCCGTTAGCCTGTTCCCCATTAGTCAACCGCTCCCTTTGCCGTTGGTGGGGCCACACTGAGAGAATGCAAGACGAGGTGGAAAGGCCAAAGGGTCTCTCCTCCCCCACGCCCGTGCATAGAGGCCAGCCACAATATGCAGGCCCTGGCCAGGCCTAGTGCATCCATGGACAGACGCCGCCTGTTTTTCAGAAATGCCTAGACCGTGCAAGCTTCCGCTGTCTTCGACAGGCGGCTTAGCATCTCCCGAAATCAGGCTAAAGCGGAGGAGGTCAGGGTGCGTCCACACTGTTGCTGGGGGTGTGATTTCCAGCACGTACCCCTGCTCGCTTTGACCAAGGTGGCACCCTGAAAAGCCCAGCCTAGCCACCACCGTGCAGGCAGCTGCACTGGCGAGTCACCCAGGTACGTACCTAGGGGCTCGGTCTGGATTGTACTTGGGCAGCTAGTCCGTGCTGCTGCAGCTATGCTGCAATTTGTAGTGGGCTCGCTTGATTGGCGCTAATGGCGGGTACATCAACGTATACCTCCCGCTGCAGCATAGACGTCCCTGTAGAGGGCTGTGAGAGTGTCCTGGCCAGCCACAGACCGGGCACGTGACAAGGAGCACCCCGCAGCCTCTCCAGTGACGCTGCAGCGGGCACGCTGGTTTGTACTGGCCAGGTGCCCCAGCAGGAATTCTGGTTGAGTCTCAGCGTCTCCTCATGCGGGCAAGCCCCTGGGACCCTTTCCAGCCCTTGAGCCTGCCAGCCGGGATTTAACTGATCGTACGGCTCCTTTTAAATATACAGCCCTTGTTCCGACCCTATAGCTCAGCATGCGGCTCAGCTGCCCCTGGCATCACGCGTTCATGCTGGACGTGGGCGACAAGGTTAAGGAAATATTTGGTGCCCTCTGCTATTGTAACACAAGCAAACGAAACAAACTTTGAAGTGCAAATGAGGCCCTGTTTGATGCCCTGGCTGGGGTTTCGGCACCGTACTGCTGTGCTGTGTTCCTATTGCATGTGCTGCCATGAAAAATACCAGCCGTGGCAGTGAGGGAAACCTGTTGGCAGCCCTACGCACCCAGCTGGCTGGGCCTGAGTCTTCTCAGCCTTACACCTGTGTAATGCCAGCAACTTGTCTTCACTGTGCCTGGTTTACAAGGGGGTGAGCGAGAGGTGAATGGGGACCAGGGGATTCACGTGTGATAGCATGTGACAGCTCCTGGGGGGGTGCCTAGCATGTGCATGGCCAGCAAGTGTATGTGCAGGAGGTGTGTAACCTGGGTTGTGTAGCTGCCATGGTGTGCCTGGGTGTCATCATTCGAGTTGGGTGAACCGGGAGGCGTTAGAGGTTTTACAAATGTCATTAACTTTTTTTTTTTTGGGTGCTCACGTTTTTGGACCTTTTCCTGTCCCTTCCCCAGATTTGACACACACAATTTTGCGTGTTTTTTTCAAGGATGGGTCATTTTTTCTTTAAGAAAAACCCCCCACAGGCTTAAAACCCACCTGCAAGTGCCAAGGGGGAGAGGAAATTCGTGGCTTAACGGTGGGAAGGAGGCAGTGTTGGCTGTCCCCGTGGACAAATCAAATGGTTTGTCTGTAATCCTAGAAAAGTTGTTAGATGCTAGCGACAGCATTATAGGGATACTGCTAGATGGATGGGCTCTGTAGCTATGCATGTGCTATGACTTAGGATCTAAGACTCACTCCAAAAGCTGGGCTGGCATGAGTGGGTGATTCAGGGCACATTTTGGTCATGACAACTTTTTGCACACGTTTTGCCTCTGATTGTGCACATCATGTGTCCATTTACACTTGCCTTCAGTGTAGGATTCAAGTCAGGGCAGGGAGGTATAGTGCACAGTGCCCATCGAAAGCCGATCTTCAGTTACAACAGCACGGAGGCTGCTCAGACTTACACAGCAAGCAGAATAAACGGAGCACCAAGATGGCTTAAAGTCACGTTAACTCCCAGCCATCCTTAGCCCAAGTGTCAGAAGAGAGTAACTGAGAATCAGGCCCAGTGTGTATATGAAACCCATGTGTACATAGTCAGATCTGGGTGTATGGGCAGAGCATGTTTGTGAGTACAGTACACTGCAGAGTGTAGATGTGTAGTGTGGGCTAGATTCTCAGCTGATGCTTCAGCAGTGAAGGACAGGGAACAGAATCTTGGGAATCATTAGGAAAGGGATAGATAATAAGACCGAAAATATCATAACGCCGCTATATAAATCCATGGTACGCCCACGTCTTGAATACTGCACGCAGATGTGGTCGCCCCATCTCAAAAAAGATATAATGGCATTGGAAAAGGTTCAGAAAAGGGCAACAAAATGATTAGGGGTATGGAACGGCTTCCATCTGAGGAGAGATTAATGAGACTGGGCTTTTTCAGATTGAAAAAGAGACGAGGGGAGATGTGATAAGGGGGGATATGATAGAGGTCTATAAAATCATGACTGGAGTGGAGAAAGTAAATAAGGAAGTGTTATTTACTCCTTCTCATAACACAAGAACTAAGGGTCACCAAATGAAATGAATAGGCAGCAGGTTTAAAATAAACAAAAGGAAGTATTTCTTCACACAATGCAGTCAACCTGTGAAACTCTTTGCCTGAGGATGTTGTGAAGGCCAAGATTATAAAAAAAAAGAACAAGATAAGTACATGGAAGATAGGTCCATCAATGGCTATTAGCCAGGATGGGCAAGGATGGTGTCCCTATAGCCTCTGTCTGCCAGACACTGGGAATGGGTGACAGAAGATGGATCACTGTTCATCCCCTCTGAAGCACCTGGCATTGGCCACAGTCAGAAGACAGGATACTGGGCCAGATGGACCATTGGTCTGATCCAGTATGGCTGTTCTCATGTTCTTATGAACAACTTTGATTTACCCCAGCCAGGGCCGGCTCCAGGGTTTTTTGCTGCCCCAAGCTGCGCAAAAAAAAAAAAAAAAAA